ATCTCCCTCTCCCACTTTTCATCCATCCCCCTCATCCCATCCCTCCCTGCCCTTGTCCCAAGCCCCTCCCCAGCTTTCCTGGAGCCCCTTCAGGCACTGGAAGCTGCTCTAAGGTGTCCCTGGAGCCTTCTCCCACAGATCGAGCCCATCAATCTCTCCGAAGAAACACTCTTTTCCTTTTTTGTGTGTGTTTTTCACATAGCCCAGCCCAAGGGGATGAGGGCTCATTGCTCACATCCCAGCTGCTGCCATCACTATGTCTCCCTCTGGCAGGAGCAGCTCAGCTCACTCACCACTGACCGGGCTTGGAAACAGCCCCTTCCAGACCCAATAAAACCACCTTTTTTTTCCCCCCTCCCTCAAGTCTAACAAGCCATTGAGAAATTGCAAATTTAGCTGAGTAACCTTATAGAGATGGGGGCTGCCAAAAAGAAAAGTTAGAGAGAATGTGTTTCAATGACAAGTTTTTTGCGATGGAAGCTCCTGATGCTGTGGGGAGCAGCCCCTGCTGACATTCCAGGCTGGACCAGAAGGAAGAATCTCCCTGGGGAGGAAGGAGAGACATTGGTGATTTCAGCAAAATGGAAGAGATTCCAGTTTGTGTTTAGGGCCATGGTTGCCCTTTTCCCCCCCCTTAGTGTCATTACAATCCTGCTGATGTTGGACCAGAAAGTCACATTGGGCCAACCATAGCTGCTTATTCTCTGACAACTAACTAACACAACCTAAAAATGCAACAACCTTTCAGCCATTCCTCATTGGATTTGCTGTGCCTTGGCATGCAGCTGTGCTCACAGAAGCACAGGTTTTTTCCCCAGGCTTTGACAAAACCTATTCTGGGATCCCCCCGTGGTTCCTCCTGCAGGCGTGCACAGCTCGGGGGTGTCCCAGGTCCTTCTGCTTATCAGAGTCACAGAATGTTCAGCGTTGGAAGGGACTCCCAAAGATCATCGAGTCTAACCCCCCTGCCAGAGCAGGACCAAAAATAACTAGGGCAGATCACTCAGAAAGGCATCCAGGTGGTTCTTGAAAGCTTCCAGGAGACTCCACAACCTCTCTGAGCAGCCTGTCCCAGGGCTCTGTCACCCTCACAGGAAAGAAGTTCTTCCTCATGTTGAGGTGGAATTTCCCATGCTGAGTTTGAATCCATTGCCCCTCGTCCTGTCACTTGTCACAAGTGACAAGAGGTTGTCCCCTCCTTCTTGCTCCCCCCATGTATTTATAGACATTAATTAGATCCCCTCTCAGCCTTCTCCTCTCCAGACTCAACAGCCCCAAGTCTCTCAGCCTTTCCCCATCACACACATTTTCCAGTCCCTTCATCATCCTTGTAGCCTCTGTTGGACTCTCTCCAGTAAATCCCTGTCTCTCTTCAACTGGGGAGGCCAGTGGACAAAATACCCCAAATGTTGTTCACTAGGGCTGAGAATCTGCCTTGACCTGCTGGAAACACTGTTCTTCATGCACACCAGGATACGATGGGCACTCTTGGCCACAAGGGCACAGTGTTGTCCTATGGATCACTTGTTGTCTACCAGGACTTAGGATGGGATCCTTGTTGGAGATGGGTTCGTTTTGCATCTCCTCTCTCTTGCAGCAGCTCCTGCGTTTGCAGGGAGGGCTCAATAGCCCTGGGCTGCAGCATTACCCTGGACATAAAGGTTTCTCTCCACTAAACTAGAATATCCACTGCATGAAGCCTCTGTTAAAGCAAAAAGGTCAGTTTGACTTACAACTGCCAAATAAAACAGTAAGGGCAGAATGACCTCAGTACCTTGGCAGGAAGAACTAAATACAAGCCAGATTCTTTGTATCCAGCAAAAGTATTTCACAAAGGGGAGAAAGAATGTACATCAGAGGAGATTTATTGCAATCAGATACAGTTTTAATAAAATGTACATAAGTTTACAACTCAAAACATTTCTTCACTGTGATTACCAGAAACACAGATGATCACACCCAGAGTGCAAAACTGGACTCCATCAAAACCTGCAAGTCAGAGGTACCTCCAGGACTGCTAAGAATGACCCTAATTACAGCGCGGTGCAAACGAACGCTGCTCTTGGGGCACAAGTCACAGATTGTTTGTCACATTTAGCAGAGACCACAGATGCCTCCAGCTCTGGCTCCACACAGAAACAAGGGAGTTTCTTTCACTGCCAGACTCAGCGTGTAAGGAAGCTCCACCACCTGCATCCTCCATCAGAACAAGCACCCTGCCCTCCCCACCCCTGCCAGCAATTACTGCTCCCTCTGGAGAGGAGGGAGCAGGAACAAGTGGATCACCATCACCCCTCTAACTTCACAGGGGAGTATTTCTAGGTGTGTGTGTGTGAGACAGCATTTCCCCTATCTACAGTGGAAACTACTTATTTTAGAAACACTAAACACAGCTGATCAGGTTTCAGGAATGTGTTTCACAATTGGAACAAGATTTCACTGTCAAGATAACTACTGCAAAAAAGTTTTGGAGTCTTTTGGTGTATGGAAAGGCCTTGATTTAACACCGTGAGGAAAAAAAACAACAGAATGGAAAGAAACACCCACAAAAATTCAACTCCCCAATACAAGAATCTTTGGTGGAAGCTGAGTTAAAGTAGCTGATTACCCCTTTGGAGTGACTGAGAGTTCAGCAATTAAGCAGCAGGTGGAATCCCACTGCAGACGTGCTTCAGGTGCCCTGTGTCATGATTGCTTACACGGGCTGGCTTAACGTCACCCATGTGTCTCCTGTACCCTGTGCACAACAGACTGAGCAGTCCAGAGACCAGTGTAAACTGAACATTATGTATGACCAGTGCTGAGCTGGAAAGGAAAGGAGAGAGAGGGGGGAAGGCCCAAAAATACTGCAGCAGTCTGAGGGAAGCACGGGCCAACAGCAGGGCAGCCGGTCCCGTTCCGTGCACTGTACAAATGAGGCAGTGAGGCACGGAGAGCCAAGCCAGCTGCTTTTTGGTTTTGTTGGGTTGGGTTTTTTTGTATGCAGAAACTCTGATTCATCACTTGTAAAGAGAGATTTCAAGTGCATTCAAGCTGAAGCTGGCAATGGGTAAGAACCAGTCCCTTTCCCAGCATGAACCTAAGATTGTCACGGGGCTGCAGTGACTACTGCAGCTCCCTGTGCAGGAGGACCCAGGGCAGTGAACAGAACTCACTGCAGCTTTAAAAACACTTACAATTCCTCGTGCTGAAGCTGCAGCACTGGCAGTTCAGGCTTAGGAAGAACATAGGCTGGAAATGAGGATATCAGAGTAACTGGCTTTGAAATTCAGTTTTCTCACCCTGTCCAAAAGTCCCATTACTTCACAGGTCACATGCAGAGCTTCAAACAAGCAGCCTCCACCCCTCAAAAGAGATTAAAAACCATTTAAGCACTGGTTGTGTGCTGGCAGGATGCTCAGCTTCTGGGGCACCGTTAGCTTGCTCTTTGTGTAAAGTGCTTGAAGAACAGAAAAGCTGCCCAAATGCTCACTGGAAATCAGCCTGACCTGACCTGAATCAGGTGAGTTTTCCCTTTCTTCCTTGGCTGGACAGCAAGGTGTGAATAACATACAGCTCAGCCCCACCTGGGTGACACCAACACACCCCTGAGAGGCAACCCAGTGTGAAGGGGGAGGGACTAGCCCAGCATAAGGTGAGACCTGGACATGGCATTGAAAGAAGTTTCACAGAATTATCCAAAAGCAATTTTTCAAGTAAAAATGAAGGAAAGGAAGAAGCACCTGAATCCAGTTAGCAGAAGTAATACCTTGAAACCACATCTTATTTATTCCATGGTATTTGCTTGCTCCAGTGAAGCACTTTCCCTGTTCCACAGATTCATCCCTGCATAACCAAGGCCTGACCTCCTTTCCAGCAGCTTCCCAAGCACATTTAACAGCCCGAGGTCAGATTCAACCTCCTGGCTGCACGCAAGGCCATGACACAGGTTGTGTGTAGAAACAAACCCTGGCCCTCATACTCAGTCTCCTGACAGTTCACAGTCTGCTATTGTAGTCAGTGTTGGCATCTCTCACTGATCCAATCCAGCAACAGCTGCTTTGGGGGAAGGGGGGTTTATCTCTAAAACAAAAACAAGCACCTTTCAGGTATATGTTTAAACAGAAAACTCAATGACAACAAAACACAATACCCAACAGCTTTGTTGAAGAAATATCTCAAGGGAAACAGCAATTTCTTCACAGTGCTTCTATTTTCAAGAGGTGGTGATGGAAGACAGAAAAGACCCTAAACCACCAGTCTGCACCAGTATTACTTCACTCGAAGCATAGCAGAGGAGGGCAGAAGGTTCCCAGCTCCTGACCTGGGCTCAGCAAGTCACTATTTGCCAACAACTGGGCTGTACTAGCCAATGTAGCCTCCTTGCTTTCAAGAATTCTTCTTCACCCCAGGGCTGTAAGACCTGTACAAACTTCTCCCTCTCCCTCCCAGGCCAAGCACGTCCAGCAGAACATCTGGCTCATCTCATGCAACTGAAGATATTTTGGAGGGAGACTGAATTCAGGGAGAGAAGGAAGCACAGGGCAGTTGGTAACTCCTATTTGCAGACTCTTCACTCCTCAGGTCCTGGCATTCAGGGTTTTCCCATCAATCCTCCCCTTAGGCTGCTGGGCTTAAAAGTCAGCAGCAAATCATGCCTGGACTGTGCAAGGTTCTGCTTTGCTTAAGCAGCCTTCACATGCATCTTTACTATGCCTGTTGCATTCCTTTAACAGATATTATTTGGACATTGGACAAAACCATGTACTGGAGATGGTGTTGGGTCTTTTTCCTCTAACAGTTATTATTTGGACATTGGACAAAACTATGTGTTGGGGATGGTGTTGGGTTTTTTTCCCAGCAAAACTAGTTGAAGTGTGTTTTTGGCGGCAGCAGCTCTCCTTGGTGTGACTCCAGTGAGTTGGAGGAGCTACAGCTGATCCTTCCCTCTCTCAGCCTGACAACACTCACAGCCCCTTCTCCAGGGGTACAAACACCTCAGAAAACAGGCAGGGCGGGAACCTGCTCTATCATAACCAGTCCCAATCTCAGCAACCTTCCCACTGCTCCACTGACCCCCTAGCAAATGCCCAAAAAACTCAGAGCCACTTGTGTGAAACCCCAAAAGGTAAAATGTGTCCTTTACCCTCAGCACAAGGCTCACAATAATGAACAAAATCCCTTGGGAAATGGCTCTAGGCTACAGGAGTCAATGGGGATTTTATCCATAGGTGTCAAGTCCTTAAAAACAAAACCTCCCATTTTTTCTTGGGAGACATTCTGCAGCACCTGCACCTGCTGGGAGGAAGGATTTTCACCCATCAGCAACTGGGAGTCCCTAGAACTGGATCATTTGGAAGCCAGCTGATTTCTTTCTGCCCAGCTGCCAGCCCAGGCACTTCGTCCTCCAAACACTCTGCTGGGATTCACTGCATCCATGACTGAACTAACAATAATAAGCGGGAATAAGGGTAGAAAGTACAATATTTTTGAAGTAGAGCAAATGTTACCAAAGGAGTGTGACTGGATTCTGTTTAGTTTCATAATTAATCAACAGGAAAACAAAGAGGCAAAATTTACAAATACAGAGTCAAGTCCTCTGCTAGTAGAAATCACTCCACCCCATTGCAGCCAATGCTGAGTTACACCACATGAGGTATGTAGATCAGGACAGATGTTGAGTTGTCTGCATAAGAAGGTTTTTTTCCATAAGGCTTATTTTTAATACTGTAAAATACTCTCCTTCACAACACCATAAGCAAATTTATGGGTCCTACACTTTGGCATAAACCAGACAGGAAAGAGGTAAAACTGAAAGCTTTGCCTCATCAGGTTTGCATTCAGGAACATAAAACCTCACTCTCTTCCCCAAGTCCCCTCTGATAGGAAAGAAGTTGCAGTAACACTTTAACCTGTGAAATTCCTTCCTTTCCAGAGCACTAGCAAGTCCTGCTTGACTTGCTCTGTAATTAATAAACCTTTTAATTCATCTCATAATGCAATTCCACAGCCAGGACCAGAAAATATGGAATATTACTGGTTTGGAAAAACATCTAAAAAATAAATGATGGGAAGACAGTGAGTGGAGGAAGGTGAGAAGCAACTGAAAAGGATATGAAGATCCTGAGAGCCAGGCATTGAGACTAACTAACATAACTTAGAATGGTTCAACTATATATCACTGCAAAGAGAGGTCTGACCAAAAATAATAATAATTTTTAATATATATATATATATTGCTATGTCATCGATTTCAACTAAGAGGCTCAAGGTCCTGTGAGAGATGGTCCTAGGGGAAGTCCACCTCCCACCTCACAGCAGATTAAGGCTTTTGCTTTCCTGCTTTGGAAGGAAAGGGTGCGGATGCAAACGGGTCCGCGCTGGGCAGCTCTGTAGTCCTGGAAGACAGAGGGGCAACAGAGACAGATCCTGCTATTGCCTGTCTGTTGGTCTGGGACACCACTTTGTAAGCAGCTATGGGCTTGACTTCAAGACCTTGCCCATCTTCTGGACTGTAGTGACGGGAATATTTTGATAAGGACTGCGGACGGAAAGGCTTGTTAAGCACGGAGCCCAGCACGGCCTCCTGGGGCAGCGTGTGCCCTTGGCTCCTCTCACTGGTCACACCACCCTGCTCCTGCAGCAAGCCTTTGGAAGGGATGTTCTCCTGGGTCTCCATGGCTCTTATGGAAGAGGGATGAAGATTGCTTGGCTGTGTAAACCCGGCAGAGGGATATGGAGATCTCAATGGAGCCGTGGATCCGCACATTGCTGAGTCCAGGCTTGGGAACACTGGGTTAGCTCGGTGTTGGACATCACCTCCTTGGCTTAGGAAAAGGGGTGGTGGTGCAAACGGTTCCTTGGACACACTATGGGAAGTCAGCTCTTCCATGCTTTTCTTTTTAGTGAAAGGGGCTCTGAGAAATACATCTGCTTCTTCTGGATGCCTGTGAGCCATGCTGCCCTTGGAGATAAAAGGAGCTTTGGTAAAGACATCCACCTCATCAGGCACTTTTCTGGAGCTTCGGAAAGGAGCCGTGGCAAAAACATCCGGTTCGTTAAAAACCTCCCCGGTGTGTGACTGGAAGGCAGGGAACAGTGTTTCCCCTGCCCTAGTCTGGGAAGACTGGGAGTGGGGATCTTCTTTGGAGGCCTCACGTCTTTCCCGGGGTGCAGACTGCAGGAACCCTGTGCACAACTTGCCAGCTTCCTCCTCCTCTTCCGAATCCATCAGTAAAGGCCTGGACCCGCTACAATCCAGAATATCTCCTTCATGGTCTGTCCCCTCTCCTTCGCTGCTGTAGAAGGAGCTGTTGCTTGAAGGACCATCTCTTGTTAAGTAGTCTGACTCTGAGTTGTTCTGAGTTTTCACCTCCAGTATGTCAGACCGACCCTTGTACAGAGCAAGTCCATCACTGCCAGAAGGTCCTTTACAGAGCTCAAGAGCTGGGAACAGGGCCGGATCCCTCTGCAAACCTAAAAATGCAAGAGAAGAGTGTTAATCAATAAGCTCCATCTCCTTTGTCACAACTAAGAATGAAAGGTACTCATTACACACCAAGTGTCATGCCGCTTGGATTTAAACCACCACCACGCATGGAACATGGGAAGGAGAGGGATGGCAAATGAAAGAACAGAAAAATACCAGGGAAAGCATTTACAACACACAAACTGACACACAACCCAGCACTGCCTCACAGCTCAGGGACACCACAAGACCTCAGAAAGAGATGGGAGATGTTTGACAGACGAATGGGCACATCCAGCACTCTCTCAGCACCATTCCACAAGGTCCTCTCTGCCACCCACGACCATGGCCATCACCAGAGAGGTTTTCCTTTACTAACACTGCTGCCTGGAGGGAGGCTCCAGCAAACTGACAGGTTCTGTCATTCCCTTCTGCACTGCTGCTGACTCACTGCCCTACGAGCAGATCCAGAGCTTGGCACAGCCTCTGTTTCTGTGAGCCATCCCACGGATAATTAAATGGATAATTAATCCCACGTGGAATTAAACTCGGGCATGTCAAAATACACAGGGATGCCCCCACAACCTGCTAATATAACATGCACATTTCAAAGAATGAAGATCAGCCCGTGGCTTTTAATGAATCCTGGTAAGTACAGCAGCATTTTCTTAAACCACTGCAAGACAAATTATTTTAAACAATCCATACCATGACTTAAAATCAAGTTGTTAATATAACTAATGATTCTGTGTTAGTGCAATGAGACAGTGCAGGGACAGACTTGCTGTTCTGCTCTTCTCCAGTTACAAGAGCTTGGGATGGGGTTGGTTTTGCCTTACAACTCACACAGACAGAAGAGAAGATCTCTTACCTTCAAAGAACTATTGGCAGGTTAGGAGTATGTCATTGGACTCATGTTAGCAAGAGGACAGGAAAAAGGCACATGAAAACTAGGCAGTATGAATTGCAGGAAGAACAAGGAGGGTAAGGAGATTGCTTGGTATCCACCAAGCGATGGACAAGTGAGGCACTAACCAACCCACCCTGCTGTGATAAAACAGCATCAGCACATCCAAATTCTGCCCAGGTTAATCTTTGCTCACCCATGGCAGCCCGCAGGGCACCGTTTCTTGGTTGAGCCCATAGGTGTATGAGTTAACTAATTCTCAGTCACTTCTCACAATTAAAGACATCAAAGTCGTTCATTAGGCATCAAAACTGGCATTTATTGGGAAACTATTCACTTAAATACATTACACTGCTAAATAGAGACAGTGTAGATATGTGAACATTAGATAAGTTACTCTACAAAAATACTCTGTCCCTCTCTCTTCTGAAGCCTGTGTTGTCAGCAATGGTTTCACCCCAGATGCCAACCTCAGATGACAGGAGCAGCACATCTGCTGTGGTGGTTTCCTCCAGGAGGGCTGGGATGTATGTACCAGCAGTTACTGTGAGACTGTGAGCACAGGGGCTGAAGCAGAGCAAGTGCCTCTGGATCACCCTGTCCTCATGGCAGGGTGGTGCACAGGAAAGGCTTTTCTCACAGTGAACATTGTGCCAGAGCAAACCAGTGACCAGCGTGTCACAGGAACAGTGCAAACCAGTCATTTGATCAGAATGTTGTTTTTAAGGAGTTACTTGCATGAGTTGGTGTCCGTGTAAGCCATGACATTTAGGACAGAGTAAGAGGCAGGTGGAAAGGATATGAGTTTGCTTCAGACAGGAGCAGTGCATCTCTGAACCTGGAGGCATGCTTGTGTCACAGGCAGAACACTCTATTTTTGGAAAAATTACTTTTCCTAATGCTTTCTTGGTCTCTCTGCTCATCATCAGTGAGAAGGGCACCAGATGCTTGGAAGCAGTTTTCTTCCTTGCTAAGACCAGTGACAGAGGTGTGAATCACTCTGGGAGTTAAACATGAAGTGATGCTCAGGGAGGAGCTCATTCCAGCCTTCAGTCAGGAGCTGGTTTCACTGGCAGCTGCCAAGTGACACAGCAAGGAACTGATCTTGGGCACCTTTTCTATGTTCTTGGGTTCACTCAGTTTGCCTCCTTTGGCAGAAAGCAAAGGGACAGCCCCAGGAGCAGCTACGGCAGCACCACTACAAGGAACACAGCATCACACCAGCATTTCACTGTACCTAACATCTGGGGGCACATCTGACAAGACAGTGGCTTTGACACCTCCTCTCAGCAGCTGTTAATCTCGTGTTCAAAAGGTCTGAGCTATGCTAAGACACTAACAAGTGCAATCAAACCAAAGAAACGCGAACCCCATTCGTAAAGGCCAGGTTAGAGCCAACCAGACAAGGTCAGTGCATTCCCATAAACCACCACAGCTACAGGCTTTGCAGACCAATGTTTCTGAGGCAAATGCTGCTCAACTTTTAGGACAACAGACAATTTCAGTTAGTCAGTGCTGGGCATTTTTCAGCAGGGCTGAGATCAGAGACACTGAAGTGCATTTCACATGAAAAGGCATGAAAGCTTTGTTCTGTGCTACAGGAAAGGAGAGAAAGGGTCACTCCACGAGCTGGTAACAGCATGAGAGAGAAGGAGAAATCTTTTGAAACTGAGACAATGCCTTTTTGTTTTAAGTCCTGCCCCTCCTCTGTGATGACTCTGCTCCCGTTCACACCCAGGGCAAGAGGCCTGAAAAGATCCAGGCAGATGGTTTGCTGGAAGCAACACACAAAGCACCTCATGCCAAAAGAGATGCTTCTTCTGCAGCAGCAGCATTTTCTAACATCTGCCTATGCAAAGATGGACACTGTCAAGGGGCAGCTGCCTCTTTTGTTCCCTCCTCCTCCAGACTCCCAAGATCTGTGTGTTACTTCATGGGGAAGCATCCCTTCCATTTAATGCTCAGGTTTTAACACAGGCACACTCCTAACAGCTGCAAGCTATACAGCATAAAAGCTTTACAGAAGCTTGAGTTCATAGATAAAGTTTCTCTCTAGCCCTGTATAACATTAATGTATCTTTTTTATTCTGGGGCATATGTATGTAGCAAAGAAACAACTCCTAAGCTATGCTCAGGGTCCCTTCCTGCAGGGAGAACCTTAGTAATAAACCCCTTGTCACTTGGTACCCCAGGAATTCATCCTGCTTGTATTCAGAGAGCAACCTGAAGAAAAGACCATCTACCCCTCAGTTGCAGCACTGACAGGTGGAGTTCCCCATCTTTGAAGAAAAAAGTGCACTGAAGTGGTAAAGGCCTGAGATAACCAAGATAAAAGCTGGGACAGATTTACTCTCCCTATTACAGGGTCTGCAAGGAGGCAGAGAAGTCACCAAGATGATGAGCTCACTTCTGGAGCAGAGCCCAGAACAAGAACATCAGGGGAGACAGAGGCAGTCCCAGAGTCTAAAGCTGCTCTTCCACTGAGTAACTCTCCTGGTTTCATCAAGCCAAAGTCAGGAAGGTCCCAACATGTGGTAACAGGCAGCTAAACATTAGCCCGGTTACTAGTATGCAAGATTACTAGTTGGGCATTTTAAAAGGCAAAGGACTTCTTATGCCTTTGTTCTTGGAACAGTGGACTTTTTCCTTGTGTTCTGATTCCTCAAAGCAGTGTCATTAAACAACAATGCAGAACTACCCCCAGACAGGGCCTTCAGTGAGGAGGTACCAAAGCAGCACAGAATCATCATCACTGTGTCACCAGACTCTAATTTGGGCAGCAGAATGAAATGTTTCTGCACAAAGTCACTGCCCAGCAGCAGCCCTGGGAGCAGATGGTGGGTTCTTCACTTCCAGAAGATAAGGAATTCCATGTCCTGATCTTGGCACACCTGGACAGTCATTTACACTGTGCAAAGTGAGACAGGGCAGATGTCAAATTCGCCACACACACCATATTCCAGCAGCTGACTAACAGCATGGGTTGGTTTTCCCCACTTCTGCTGCGCACGAGCCAAGAGCTACACATGCCAGACATTCAGATGCAGCCTGTGACAGCCTGAGAAAAACACACAGTGAATATTCGGGGGTTAAAGCCCCGCCTGTGGAGGGCAGGAGCACCAGCCTCACACATCAGTAAGGTCCTAATAACAAGCCCAGCCAAGCAGCCCACCCTTTCTCCTTCGGAGCCGGGAGATCCAGCGCTGCACAAGGAGCCTGTGCTGCTTGTGGGCAAAGCTGTCCCCAGAGCACTGCTCCCTTCAGCCACGGAAACAGGCCACACAGGAACACAAAAGAAATACAAGTGAAAACCTTTTTTTTTTTTTCCCTTATGTCCCCGGGTCTGTATTTCCTGTTGGAGTGAGTCAGTTCTAACATGCAGAGCCCACACACCTCAGCACAGGGAAGTTTTGGGGCCTCGTCTCACCCCATCACTGGGACCTGAGCTGGCTGATCAGCCTCATCCACAGTAGCACTTCCCCAAATCACAGCCACGCTTCCCACTTCCACACCAGCCACTCCCCAATTCCAACTGACTCCCCTGAGAGTTCCTGAACTAGAAAATTGGCTGAGCAGAGAGTAACTTGCTCCATAACTTGCTCACACTTCAGACACTACTTCAGCACGCTGTGCTCTTGGGGACATCTTCATTAGCTTGGATACCCCAAAACTTGATGAACTGGCTTTGGTCTGAACCTTCACTGTAGTAACCTTTTTTTTTTTAAATGAATTTTTACATAAAGTGGTTTGGAAAGTCACTGGAGGCTATCTCCTGCAAGCTTTCAGGCTGCAGAAAGCCATCATCAAGCACCTACAAGCAGCCCCCTCGAAAAATAATTGTGCTCTCTGCAGTTTCACTCATGCTGCCACTCACTTGTGCTGAAGGAGCTGCTGGAAGTGCAGGTCTGCCACAAAGCCACCAGTGCTAAGGTTTTTCCACCCAACTCTCAGACTTCTCCAGCAGGTTGCACGGTGCCTGCCTTCACACTTGGCCAAGTCCCACAGAACCCCATGAAGGCTTGGACAGACAGAATTCAGGAAGCTGCAGCACCTTCTCATTTGGTGACAGATGCTCCCAACATAGTGGGTATTGCCAGAACCAACACAAATTTGCTGATCTCTGAATTGTGGGTGTGACACCTGTGCTCATCCAGTTGAAAGATGACCTAGGGAGATTTCCAAAGGTGGGGACATGACCTGGTTTGAGCCAGGATGAAGCCAATTTTTCTTTTTACTGATTTTTTTTTTTTTTTTTTCCTTCAGTAAGCTTTCTTGTAACTAGCAACAGTGTGTTCTGCTAGGCTGATAAGACAGTGGAATGTTAGAAAGCTTACTGAAGGAAAAAAAAAAAAAAAACCAGTAAAAAGAAAAATTGGCTTCATCCTGGCTCAAACCAGGACAGGACAGTTCAAAACTCAAGTCCCCTCAGACTAAGCCAGAGCCAACATCTAACTCCCAACTATTCCTTTGAGCACGTTGCCACCCCAAAACCATAATTTATTCTTGCATCTAAAGCACAACTTTGACTCAAAAGGAAATTGTTCCATGTGTTGTGGGTGCATTTGTAATACCCTACCAGGAGATTCCCTCCAAATAGCTAATGCTGCAAGTTCCAGCCTGCCAGGACAGAACAGCTCCTCTGTCATCCTCACAGGAACAACCAGCACACATCAGGCAGAGAGGAGACTCACTCTGCTGTGACTGTAGGTTTGGAGCCTGTTACTTAACAACACCTGAGCCCACAGCTCTGAAAAGGGGACAGAAACCTCTTCCATGGCTTAATCCAGAGCTCCAACCATAGCTAAAAGAATTATCCTTACACCATTTGGGGAATGGTGGGCAACAAACTTCTCCCATGCGGACACCCGAGAAAGTTCCATTTGTCCCTTCACAGCAGCAGCTTTCACACAAACTCCTCAGCTTTTGAGCAGCAGACAAACAGTAACCAAAAGCCTCTAGGACAGTCACATTTTATGGAGAGCTTAGTATTAATGCCAAATATCCACTCATTTCATCATTTTCAATTAATCTAGCAAATAAGTGGTGAGTACTTCCTGCTGGAGCTCTAGATCACAGACATCCCATCAAGTGCACCCTTCACAGCTCACACCCAGATCCATGAACAGCTACTTGAAAAAGCAATAAACATTCACATCTGCTTATTTAATAGCATTATTAACAACCCAGTGCATTTATCATTTTTTTTCCAGAACCCTTGAACAAGTGCCATTAGATTTAAAACCTTAAACATTCTTTAAAAGTACTTTAATTCACAGAAATCTTTGTTTCTAATATACAGTAGATGGTTACTTTTTAAAATCCATTCTCTTTTCATATAATCTCAGTATCTGACTATACAATAACTTTCTATCTATAGCATCTTCATGATTTCCAGTCCAGCTTGCCTGTGCTTTAGGAATATAAAACAAAAAAATAATAAAGTTCTATCCACAATTTTACTAAGGTCATTTCCATAGTTCTCATGTAAAGCTTCTCCTGGAAAGTGCAGTATACACATGTAATGATACAACACACTTAAGCAATATTTTTATTATTAAGTGTAGGTTTTAAAAGAAGAGTAAGGTTAGAGCAGACACAACCCATGGCAAGTTCTATTTACAGAATTTGTTAAACTAAGTGTTGGGATGAGGGAATTAGAGACTGGAGAGAGGGAAGGAGGCATCACAAAGGTGGGTTTCTCTCCTTGTTAGCAGAGGTCAGTACACACAGATTTCAGTCGTTCATACTTTCGCACATGGGAAAAACTGCACTTTTACTAATACAGCAACATACACATACACAAGGTTAGCAGTAAGCTAGGAATTATTCCACTACAGAGGAAGAGTCCTTCTGTTCAGAAAGAGCTTTCGAATACAAGATAGAAATTCCAGACTTCAGGACCATAAGCCAATGAGAACAAGTTTAGCGTACCCAGCTAGTTGACAAACTAAGCAAGTGAAGGGAAAAAGAAAAGGTAAAACCCATCAAGTTGTAGCAGCACTTATTTCCAACTGTCTGAACCAAGTGCATGCTTGTTCCACAAGGACTGGAGAGTGGAATAAAGTCCACAGGAATCTTTGTCTACTGAAACAAATGGTTCCATACTTAACTGGTTTGCACTAGATGCAGTTACAAGAGAAAATGGGGGATCCAGAACAGATACCAGATGCTTGACTAAAACCAGGATTAAAAATAAGACAAACAACTGGAGGACAAATTGTTTCATACACAATTTACAGTAGATTGGGGGGAATTGTTTTTTTGTTTTTTTTTCCAGGCAAACACAGAAAAGAAGTCACAGAAAATACATCTGCTGCTGCCACAATGCCCTTTTCACCCAAAAAAAAGGTCAACAAAATGCTAGTCACAGCCATACTCACATGTTTTGGTTCAAAACAGTGTTATATTTCACTTAGGGTCATTTTTTGCAGTTTTAACAATGCAGCTTTTTTCCTTTTTTTTTTTTTTTTTCCCCTCCCCAAAGGAACTGCAGTTCATTCCCAAGCAGGATTAAGCAGCAAACCATGAGCTGGGGCAGTCTGGAAAACTCTCTTCATGTGCACCATCACCAGAGGAACTAGGCAAGACTACTGCAGAGGAATCTGGGGCTTTCTCCTGCTCTGAATTTAGAAACATCAGCTCTCCTAACCTGTCTTCTGCAGGAGAGGGACATCCCTACCCACTTCCCCTGCCCAATCATCAGAACACAGGACAAAACCAAACCCAAACCCACCAACCCAAAGGCTGAAAGCAGCTGTTCACACACTACGCTAAGGAGGAAGGAGTCTGTGAGATGCAGGGATCAGGCAGGATTATCTCATTAATTTACAGTGAGGCTTTCCATGGTGCTGTGTGTACATCTCAGTAGGGCAGCTAAGGGTGGTGCTCCCTTCAGACACAGGCCAGCAAAGACAGGGGTGCAGAAGGAACCACAACAGGTTTTTGCCAGCTTTAGAGAACACTTCCTGGGAAACTGAGACAGAATCTTTCCCAGGGCATGGGAAGACAAGGAGAAAGGTGGGTGACTGGCTCCTGTTGGCAGATTTTTCTTCTAATTAAGGAGGGGGGGGAAGAAAAAAGAAAAAAAAGCAAGCCCAAAAGAACCACAACTGAAGGTTACTCTTCTGGAAATGGAAACAGAGGATTAGGTACGTTACAGAAACTGCGTCTGCTACTGTGTCACTGCTACAGGTCTATGAGCTGATCCACCAGCAGTAAAGACCTGGCTATGTTGGGAAGACTGGACTCAGAGCTTCCACTGTTGTTTCTAGAATGCCCACCTGAAAGTGTGAGAGATAGGAATTCAGTATTGAACAGGACACACACACACGACAGTTTCAGATGTTCAAGAGCAAGCAAGCAAGAAAAAAAGTCAAAGCAAAACAGAAAATTTGCTCAAGCTCTTCTCATTAATTGCATTAAGACAGCAACAACATTTCCCCTGCTCAATCCTCCCCCCTCTGCCCACCCCCAGGCCTGGCTCACTAGACTGGCATGAAAACACATCCCAGCAGCCAACAAACCATTTATTTCTCAGGGTTTACATCCAAGCTGCAGAATTCTGTCCTTACTAAAGGATCTAAAAAGCAGTTGCAACAACTCCCACAACCTCCAAAAAGGACTGTTCAGAGTTTTGAGTCTTGAAAATGAGTTGCTGCTCTAAGAGCATCTTTGAGTTGCCAGCTACTTTCAGGGGAGCTGAGCTGTCATGTGGCTTTCTACAACTGGTGCTTTGAAACTGAAGGAAATATGCTCCTTTTTATTCAAGGTAGCCTATCTTGGCCCAGCTTGGGTGGAAATCATCTCTGACTTCCAGGAGGAGCAGAGTTTCTAATGTCTGAGAGCTTCTCCTAATGTGTGTCAGTCTCTCAAAGCTGGCACTGGGTGCAGAGCAGGTGACAGCACATTCCTGCTGAACACACAGTTTGGGGGGGGGAAAAAGTTCTAACATCAAATTAAAAAAACCAAGCAAAACAAAACCAAAATAAGAGAGCCCTGGAGCACGTTTTTAAACCTATGCTAGCATACCAAAAGCTGTAATCAAAACCTTTTAACAGCCTGACTCCAGAGAGAAGACCTGTTTGACTGACCAGGCTGCGAAATGCTGCATAATTCTGTCCCTACAAGAACTACAAAATGAAGCACTATTATGTCTCTTAAAGAAACAGTGCTGCTGCTTGGACTTACCCCTACATCAGGTGCAACTGCTGGCAAAGACCCACATTAATGTGATCTAGGTGACAGGAATGCTGCAAAAGGAGAAACTTTCCAATCTCTATCCTAAGGGCTCTGACTGCTCCAAGCTCTTCAAAGGAGGTGGGGGGACCATCTACCAAACATCTCACACCCAGCTCCCACAAGCACCTCTGAGAGCCATCAGTCAGAAGTGAAAAAACTCACTTCCAGCATGAGTTTCAGAGTTGTAAAGGACTGTATCATTTCCCTTTCTTGTGCCATATGCCAAGTTCATGTAGAAGACAAAGGATCTCCTTCCACTGGCTTGATCAGTAAATAAGCAGGTTGGAGAGCACAGGTCTCCAGTGCAGTGCAGCCACAGAGGGACCTGTGTGCCTGCCAGGCAGAAATCACTTCATGGCACCTAAAGATCCTTTCACATCTGTTCTCTTTTTGGACATTAAAACTTCTCCAAGAGAATCCACAGGAATTTCAAGGCCAATGTAAAACAGAGAAAGACTAATCTCACTAAATACTACCATGAGAGTATCTTACAGTTTGTGACTTGCATTATGTCACATCTCCTGCTGCACCACTGCTCCAGAACTAACTTATGCTCATTGTTTTCCTTCTTTCCTTCCCTTTTTCACCCCGACATCCTGGCTTACCTTGTGAATTTTTGGATATCAACACTGGAATTGGGTCAAACTCATCTTCTGTCACTTTCTCAGAGCCCTCAGGAGCATCAAAGCCTGATATCAGGTTAGTATCTTCTGCAGCATAAAGGAGAAACAGCAAACAGGAAAGGAAGCAAAGATAGCAGAGAAGGCTGGTTAGAATCGCTAAAAACTGTTAGAACATACTCATGTTTTTAGAGACAGGGTTTAGAAGCAGAAGTTTCACTTAAATGGTGAAATAAAGTTGGTAAGTCTTTGGTAAGGAAAGTAAGAGGTAAGAGAACCAATTAAATACAGAAGGGGATGAAAACCCAAAAAACAATCCAAGTCATGAGAACCAAAATAAAATCTGGCCAATCTGAAGGCTTAACCATTGACATAGTTCAAAGCTGTGAGAAAAGCCTGGGGCTTAAGCTGCCCAGGATTGAAGGTATATTTTTGTCATCATCCAGTGGCTGTCAGGTATTAGTACAATTTAAGAGAGCAATCTAGTTCTCTGGTTACCAGCTCTCAGGCACAGGGAGAAGAAAAGGGCTGGAGGAAAAAAAAAAACACACAGAGAAGAAATTCCACCATGAGACAAAGCCCCTCAGCTTTCAGCCACAGTGATAAAACAAGAAGTGCAATATGAAGTCAGATTTCTAAGGAGTTAAAATGCCTGAAGATGTAACTAGATACTGAGAGAGTTTCTTTAAAGGCCCCCAGAGCAGTTCTGGCAGATAACATGGTTTGAAATCAATGGAATTAACTGCAGTTAGACACTTGGTGAGAGGCACTTTCAACAATCTCCACAGATGATGAGACATTTATCTGCCTTATCAAGCAATCACACACCTTTAGGGACTTTCACACTCTCACTGTGCATTAAAATTTGTTTCTTTAGACACCTAAAATACCTTCCAAAAATCTGGTCTTCAATTACTACATGAAATATTTCTGAAAGCCCAGCAAGAACACATACAAGTCGATGGTTTCCAAGGAACAGGAACATTCCTGTTTGGGTCCTAGCAAGAATAAAAGCTTTTTAACCTTAAGCTGACAAAAATGCTAACAGGTTTTGGGTGAGATGATCCAAGAAACCAGTTGTGGAAATACACTGTTCTCTGGAGGATCAGACCCAGAAAAACACTCCAAAAATTCTATAGAAGCCTGTAAAGTGTCAAAAACAAAGATGTTGCATCTTAACAGAGTCTCATCTTGTTATCACACTGTCTCTGGAGTTATTTATTTGTGGCTCTTCTCAACCCACCTGGGAGCCTTTGCAAACATCCTATTTCCATTTCACCCCATTTGTACATACAATTGTTCCTAGCTCTGGAGTTTGCTGTACAAGCAGCTACTGAAGGAGCACTGCTCAATTACGGACTCTCTTTCCTAAGGGGAGGGAAAGGCTTTCCCTTTTTGGGCACCTTCGGTGGTGTTTAAGCTCATCTTGATGATGATGTGTCACCATAAGCAGAAAAATTCTCCCCTCTGATACATGCAGCTTGGTGCTGTATTCAGCAAATGCTAATTAAGGAATCCTGAGGGCTGAGCAAAAATTCACAGGACAGAAAACAGCCTAGTAAAGCAGAAAGGAAAGGGTACTATGGCATGGTTGGAGCATCAGTCCCTGCCCAGACCACGGCTGCTTTTTCAAGTCATAGAATCACAGAATGAATCCCAGAATGTTGGAAGTTGGAAGGGATCTCTGGAAACCATCTTGTCCAACCCCCTGCTAGAGCAGGGTCACCCAGAGCAGGTTGCATAGGATGGCATCCAGGTTGGTTCTGAACGTCTCCAGGGACGGAGACTCCACAGCCTCTCTGGGTAGCTGATCCTCTGTCACCCTCCAAGTCAAGAAGTTCCCCCTCATATCTAGACAGACCTTCCTATATCCATGTTTTGTCTGTTACCTCTTGTTCTGTCACTGAGAACCACTGAAAAAAGAGTGGCCCCATCCTCCTGACATCCACCCTTCGAGTACTGATAATCACAGACGAGATTCCCCCTCAGTCCTCTCCTGTTCCCACTTGATAACTTGCAGTGTGGCAGCTCCACAGGCTGACTGCACCCACGGACAGCAGCACCTGCCCCTGAGCTGCTTCAAGTCAAAGCCAGGACTGGATAAGCAAAGCAAACAAAACAAAGACTGACTTGCTGACCACACCCAGAGCTACAAAAAGCAGAGTTTGAAAAGAAGCCACAAAGAGTTTTGGAAGATTTTAGTATTTCCACCACACATTCTCCTGCTAACAGAAGCCTCACTTTCCTCATCAAATGTGGGCCTCTCTCATCCCAGAGGGAACAGCAGGGCAGGCTGGGAGAAGTCCTGCAGGAGTTTGTTAATTAATTTTCTCATCAAGTCACACTTTGCTACGTTCTAGACGTGGAGCAATAACTGCTCAACATACATTTCAAGCCATTTACTCCAAATAAAGTGCCATGGAAGTGTATCCTAGTGATGAGCAATTAGCACAACTGCTTGTTTAAACCCAAAAGCTCTATGAAAAACCCAAACTCATGGGCAAGTGCCATCAAGGGTAAAAAATTGATTACAGAGTGTTTTTGCAGCAATTCCTCTGTTGCTACAGGGATATTTACCAAACTAGCTAAGCAAAACCCATTGCCAAGGGGGGTGAGCTCTGGGCCTCCCTTTTCAAGGCAAAAATAGCACAGAGCTCCTGGGCCTTCCCTCCCACCTGGGTGGATGTGCACAACACAATAACCATGACAAGCCTGGCTTAGGTGAGTCATCCATTAGCATGTGGCATTGTCCCCAAGGGACACAGGCACTGCTAGCAACTGCTTTAGCCTCTACTAGGGATGTGGCAGGAGAAGCTCCCCATGTGAGTGGCATTCCAGCTGAGAGCTCTCCCAGCTATCTCAGTGCCACCACTCCAGCCACACTGCATGGAGAGGGCCCAGATTCCAGCTGGGTGCTCTGCAGCTTGGAGAGAAAAAAAGCTATCAGAACTGGGACACAGCTTCCCAGGGCCCTCTATTCCTAAGAACAGTGGAAGAAGAAACAGAACTCTGATCACTGGATGGTACTTCCACCATTCCCCTCAAGCTCAGACACTGAGGTTCTGCAAGGGCTGATCTGCAGCTCTAAGGAATTACCACATGTGGTCTGATTTGCTTCTGCAGCTTTGTTTTGTGCTGCTGGGAAACTTCCATTTTTCAACTGGATGCTGCACTCCAACTTTCATTCATCTTTGCTGTGACACTACAATGTGACTCAAGAAGCCTCTCTTGATAACCTCTGAAAAGAAAAACATTCTCCAGACCTGAGAGAGATCAGTAATATTCCTTGGATACTAAAAATCCAAGAAAAAAACCCTTATGTTTCAAAAACCTGTGACATGAGCATAGATGATGATTGGGCTCCCTTCCAGAATTAATAATGCAGCATAACAGCAGGTCTGAAATTCCATGTGCAAAAGCAAAACCATTCAAGTACAAACCTGCAAGAGAGATGTATACAGAAGCCCACCCTTTAGGCCACCTGTTTCCCTGCTCCATGGAAGGTGTCACCTGTCTTGATAAAACTTCACAGTCAAGCTGAATAATTCCATCTGAGTTTTTTCCCTTAGTACTTCAATGTGCACCCCAAGTTTCACCAGCTTGGGAAGAAAACAAAACGATGGCTTGGGGAAAAAAAACCAAAACAAAACATCACCAGAAAAACAGGTCAGAGCACCTCTTGTGTAAACTGGTGTCATCTTCACTTCATGACAGCTAAGGAGAGCCCCCCAGAACTGAGCAGGTGTTAGAGACAAAGGGACAGTTTACCTTTGTGAGGCTGAGCTGTGAAAGCTACAGGAGCAAACTCATCCAAGAGGTCAGCAGCAGGGTTAGAAAGCAGAGAACAGTCAAGCAGAGAATCTTCCCCAGTGAGAGAGTCTGAGTCCAGGTTGGCATCCAGAGGCCACACGGGAGCATCAAACAGGACACAAATGCTGATAAGTTCATGATCTCACAAACCAACCCCCCACTGCTTAGTGTACAAACACAGCTTGGATGCCAAGGCAGCACAAAAGCTGCTGTTCTTTGGTGATGGAAAACATTTCTTGCTGCTCTGCAGTGAGGGCAGAGGATTCCCAACACCTTTAGCACCACAGGACACATTCTCTGTGGCTAACTGCCCTCTAGAGCTGAGTAGACAACAGCAAAGTCCCACACAAGTGACAGGTGAGTGGAGGGGGGTGTGGGGAGTGAAGGAGAGCTGCAGGGACCCCCTGGCAAAACTAAGTGCACTGGCTGTTTCACAAGAGACCTCTGAACAGATGTCAAGTCCATCTGCTGCAAAAGTGGCCAGATCAAGGCCTTCACAATAAGTCAGGGACAGGAACTGCTTGGAACACTGCCCTGATGGAACAGACCAAAACCAGCGACTGCCTCAGATTTCAAAAGCACCTGATGGGAGCAATTCTCTGGCACCTCCAGATTCCTACCAGCTGGAGGAACACTCAACTGCTCCTCAGAAAGAGACAAGGAACTCTGGCCCTCCAGGAGCCACGCAGCAGCCACTCACGAGACACACCAGTAAACCCAGTTTACATGGGTGAGAAAAGCAGCAGAGCTGCTCCTGTTCAAGCAGACAGTGCACTCCCATTTCCACAGCCCCCCCCAGCACGATGCACCCAAGCTCCCCCAAACCCTCCTGCCTCACCAACCTGTTCTGTTGGAGGCAACCGACTCGCTCTGCGACACAAGGCGTTGGGGCAACGGAGCCTCCAGGCCAGGTATGAGACTCTCAACAGGTACGTCAGGTTTTCCTTTCCAAACGTGCAGAAAAGCAGAGTGGAGGAGAAGCCAGAGGTTAGTTTGCAAGACACAGAGTAAGGAGAAACCAAGGCAGCAGTTGCCTGAACCCTTTAGTGACCCTTCCTTGCGTGTGAGCTCTGCTGGCGGCAGCAAGAGGCTGAAGTTGGACTGATGTTAATTTAATCACATGTGAAGACTGTGACACACTGGGGTTTGCTTGGTTGGAGCTTTTCTTTAAATGCATTCATTTTAATTTGTGCAAGCCCAATTTGAAATACCCATAGGGTGGAAAGGGAAGCTGGTAGCACCTTCCCTGCAACTAACAAGAAGGCCTGAGGCAGCTGAACACCAAGCTTTTGCAAGATCCTTTTCCAGCAAAAGGAAAACACTGACCTGTAAGGAGTCATTAGGAAAAATAGGCCATTAAAATACTGTGGAGCCCCTCACATATTCCCAGGTAAGCTTTTAAAAAGCCAAGGCATGGGGTTTTATTTATTCATTTATTTAATTATTCATTTTGAATGCCCAGTGGAGCAAAGAGGTGATAAAAGTTTTGGAGCTTAATCTCTTATTTGAAAACACCAGTTCCCAGTATCACCTCATGCTGGTAGCCATTATGAGGACACAAAAGGAGATGTTCACGAAGGCTGGACAGAAAGATTTGTTCTTATAGAAACAATAAAGCAGAGTGGGAGAGACATGGAAGATTAAGTGTTACAGTCATACCAGCCAGGTATATTGCTTGTCTGGGTCTCCTCCTCAAGGGCCAACATCAAGGTAATGACCAAGAAATTAAACTAAAGAGCAAGAATGCACTCAAGTGGATCAGGAATGGTCTAGTCAACCCAAGAGAGATTAATTCATGGTTTTGTTTGCATAGCAGTGTGTGTGTGTCTTGAAATTTGCAGGACGATTATCTAAAAGCATTCAAGACACCTGCCAGAAGTTGCAAAAGGGAGAAAAAGGTTTGTTATTACAGTGAACTGGTTTCCTACCTTTCTACTCAAAGCTATGAGATTGCAACCAGCCAGCCAGAGCACCCTGGCTGGGACCCAAAACCACAACAGCAGCAGATGGCAATCAAAGGGGTTTTAATCTGAGAGGACAGTGATAGGACCAAGGGGGATGGTTTTAAACTGAGAGAGGGGAGATTTAGGTGAGATATTAGGAAGAAAGTCTTCACTCTGAGGGTGGTGAGGAACTGGAATGGGTTGCCCAGGCAGGTTGTTGATGCCCCATCCCTGGAGGTTTTTAAGGCCAGGTTGGACAAGGTTTTGTGCAACCTGGTCTGGTGGTTCCCTGCTCAAGGCAGGGGGGTTGGAACTGGAACATCAAGGTAATGACCAAGAAATTAAACTAAAGAGCAAGAACGCACTCAAGTGGATCAGGAATGGTCTAGTCAACCCAAGAGAGATTAATTCATGGTTTTGTTTGCATAGCAGTGTGTGTGTGTCTTGAAATTTGCAGGACGATTATCTAAAAGCATTCAAGACACCTGCCAGAAGTTGCAAAAGGGAGAAAAAGGTTTGTTATTACAGTGAACTGGTTTCCTACCTTTCTACTCAAAGCTATGAGATTGCAACCAGCCAGCCAGAGCACCCTGGCTGGGACCCAAAACCACAACAGCAGCAGATGGCAACCAAAGGGGTTTTAATCTGAGAGGACAGTGATAGGACCAAGGGGGATGGTTTTAAACTGAGAGAGGGGAGATTTAGGTGAGATATTAGGAAGAAAGTCTTCACTCTGAGGGTGGTGAGGAACTGGAATGGGTTGCCCAGGCAGGTTGTTGATGCCCCATCCCTGGAGGTTTTTAAGGCCAGGTTGGACAAGGTTTTGTGCAACCTGGTCTGGTGGTTCCCTGCTCAAGGCAGGGGGGTTGGAACTGGATGATCTTTAAGGTCCCTTCCAACCTGAAAGACTCCATGACTCTAAGGGCAGCCTGCAATTATTAGTCTTTAGTGCATTTGGCAAGCAGGTCAAAATGTGACTCTACAACACGCCAGAGTCTTCACACTGCCTGGAGTCTGTTGCACAGGGGCCCATGGCAGCCCAGCACTCCCAGCTCGTGGCCAAGGCCAGCGCTGCCCTCATCCTGTTGAGGGGCAAGTGGGGAGACTGAGAGGCCATGGGTCATGGTTACACACCAACGTCTTTAGCAGTAACACACGGATTTTTTTTCATCTTCTACTTCAGTCAACCATTAACTTTCTTCTACCAAGACCAGAAGAACACAGAAGGCACAGTGATGCCACATTGCTGTGCCCAACCTAGATTTTAACTGCAAATCCCAAGTCTTTGCTGCCCAGATGTGACCTCAGGGGAAAAGGCAGATCTGTCTCAGCTTCATCCACACCTTCCTGTCCCACGAGCAGCTGTTTGGAGAGCCCAGCAGGAGGTGAACAGCAGAGTTATCATGCAGGACAAGACATGCCATGTAGGACGAGGGGAGGAGGAGGTGCCCTAGGGTTATTTTTACCATTCACAGCATCGGAGGTGCTACCGAAGGGGTCAGCCAGAGGCAGGATATCGGGGAGCAGAAGCGCAGTCTCAGGAGATTTGAGTCCCTCAATCAGTTTTTCTGGGTTAAGCAGGAAAAGGAGGAAGGGAGGGAACAGAGAAAAAAAAAAAGCAAGAAAAACACAACATTAATCAGGTGCTCAAGTCGGAGGCTCTTAGTCCAGCATGTCAGGCTCAGAAGAGCATCTGCACATAACCCTGTCACTTGGAGATGATAGAGGGCAGCTGGTCATGGTCACCTAGGACAACTGAGGACATCCTCACCCCTGTGTCTGCTCTCCCCAAGGAGCCTCTATAAAACAGTGGGCAGTTCTTTCACTCCTCCACAAAGCACAAAAGCTTAATATGATCCATTGAAAATCAAAGAAAAAAGACCTACCATTTTTCCCCCCTCCCACCTTCCCATGCTGGGGAGGTCTTTGTTAGTCTTGCATAAACAGAAGAAACAGAAGAGGCAACAAGAAGTCCAAGATCTTGGAGATGGGCACAGAACACCATACTTTGCTCAAGAATGGAACACTTACAGCCCTTAAGAGCTTTAACAAAAACAGAAAACGGCAGAGCCACTACAGTACCAGACATCACAACCTGCCATTGGATTAAACAGCTGTCTAGTTACCAATTAATTATTTCAACTATCAGGTTTCAAATCAGACATGTCATCCTCAGCAGCACAACTCCTGTGGTTCCCATCCCCCTGCACACAAAGAAATTCAGACAGCCTGGGCAAAAAGTTAAATCTCAATTATTAATCTGGTGGATGAATGATTCTACTATCATACTAACTAGGTTTTCAATCATCAGCTTAATTTTTTTGCTTCCACAAGGGTTTCTTCACAGAAGAAGTAGACAAAGAACATTTTCAGGATGTGCTAGAAGCAATCACCACTGAAAACATCTGCTCCACCCAAATAAATCTGGCCATTTCCACTTGATGGAATGACTGCATTTATAATCTAACATCAGAAGGAGCTGTAGCCCTGCCACAACTACACTTTTACAACAATTTTACATCTATATTTTATGTTTGGAGTTCAAAAGCTAACATTGTTATTTATTACCCAAAGAAAACATGCTCAAACTGCACAAAAGCACAGGCTCTGGAATAGTGCTGTATAAAGGACTTACCATGCTGAGAAAGCCACAGAAAAGCTTGAGTTGCACTGTTACATATATGGTAAAAATATCAATCTTTTTTTTATTGCCCTATACAAATAATAAAACAGCCTAGAGGTTTTGGAGCTACTTATTCAAAGCAGGACAAATCCTACTCCCCATGAAGAACCTCACAAGGCAACACACTGACGCAACCAGGAGGGGAAGGAAAGCCAAGAACTAACTCAAGAGGTAGTTATTGTCCCATTAAAGGCCTGAGGAGGGTCACCTGAAAAAAAAACCTGATGGGAACATCAGCTTTGGATGTACTTGAACCTTTCTCATCTCTAAGGTCAGATTTGTCAAAGAAAATGCAGCACAAAGAGGGTCTTTTTCTTTGCACAGAGAGGCTAGAACAGGGGATTGGCAACAAAAAGAGGTGTTGATGCTACCAAAAGGGGGCTGAGGAAGAGGGAAGCTATTACAACATGCTGGGAAAATGTAACACAACACAAAAGAGGCTTGGGGACAAAATGACAGGTACCATGCTCCATTCCTTTTCCCAGAAGGGCAGTGGTAACAGGCATCCACCCACAGTCCAGCTGGCTTATATCAATTAATCCAGGGAGCAAGGCACAGGACACAACTGGGGGAAAATTATGGATTGTCTCAGAGTTGAGCAGTTTCAGATTGGGTTTGGCTCCTACCTGGAGGTGAAGTTTGTAAGCTGGGAAGTCTGGACCTTGTGAAAGTATCCCTGTTTCAGAGATCCAGGCCCCAGATGCTCCTCTCAGAGCAGACCCTTACAGGAGGCCTCTGTGCCAACACTCAGCTCTTCCCCAGGCACTTGCATCAACCTGTGTCTCCAAACCCACACACACAGCAATCATTCCTTTTATGATCCCATTTCTAAGTGTTGTGCTTCTTGAAGTCTCCCTCCTTCAACCTTACCTTTCCAAACTGTTTCCTCCTTTCTCTCTCCTGCAGATTTAACACAGTGGAACTGCCTCTTGGTCAGGCACTAAAGTTGCCTGGTGAGCTCAGCCCATCCTTTTTAAACATGCAGAAATTGAGAATAAACATACTGTTCTTCTCCCTACATGTTAGTTTTCTCTCCTGCCTCCTGGGCTCAACTGGTTTTATGCAAAGCTTTGGACTGTCCAGAGTTCTTTGTCTTATTTAGTTACTTGTCTCATGAGATCTCTGTTTTCCTTCACTGTTAGTGCTGATCTGCCACCACTGTACAAGTGGCCAATTCATCTCTTGAGGCATGTTCAGAAGGAACTTCAGCCTTTAGTTCAACAAAAGCAAGAAGGTGGCAGGATGAACTGGGAACTAGATACCAAAAGTCAGATACCTCAGCCTATTTGGAGGCTTAGCAGTTCATTTCCCCAGTCTGTTTTGTGTGGCATCTTGGACCAACCTGTGGGAATGAGATGAAGGAAGAGCAGTGGCTTTAAGGGGTGGGAAATTCACATTCAGCTGGGAGCAAAAGAAAGGTGAGCAAAGACCCAGCAGAACCCACAGATCTCTGTCAGTTACCAGGAATCCCTTTTCCACAAGAGTGAGGTTTGGTCTCCTCAGCACAACATGCTTAGTGAAGAAACACATTTGCTAAAGGAAGTTTTTCTGACTCCACATCAGACATTCAGGTCCAAGAACTCAGCATGTCTTTGCAGTGACAGAGAAACCCAACTCTTAAGCTTCTGCTTCACCACAGCTCCAGTGACCGAAGCAGTAACTCAAGGAGGGCACCTTCTGCACATCAGACTGTGCAGGAACATTGGGCAGCTGTAGTTTAACCATCTGCAGACCCAGAGAGAAAAAACAAGCTCTGTTATGATACCAAACTGCAGTTTAGGTCCTGCTACCAAGGGAATTTTCTAGCAGAAGTTTCATTTTCATTTCCCAGAGAAAAGCTGTGTCACCTGCAGGTGAAGTCACAGCTGAGATGGTGAGAAGCCAGCAATGCCAAGTCATTGGAATGAATAAGAAAGACAGCAGTGCCAGAAGAGGAATCACAGAATGGTGAAGGCTGGAAGGGACCTTAAAGATCACCAGGTTCCAACACCCCTGCATGGGCAGGGACACCTCTCACCAGACCAGGCTGCACAAACCTCATCCAACCTGCCCTTGAAACCTCCAGGAAGGGGGTATCCAAACCTCCCTAGACAACTTATTCCAGTGTCTTCCTGCCCTCACAGTGAATTATTTATTCCTGATGTCTAACCTAAACCTCCCCTCTTTCAGTTTAAAGCCATTACCCCTGTCCTATCACTGTCCTCTCTGGTTAAAAGCCCCTACCCAGTTTTCCTGGAGCCCCTTCAGGCACTGGAAGCTGCTCTAAGGTCTCCCTGGAGCCTTCTCTTCTCCAGGCTGAACACCCCAACTCTCCCAGCCTGGCTCCAGAGCAGAGCTGCTCCAGCCCTTGGATCATCTCCATGGCCCTTCTCTGGACCTTCTCCAACAGCTCCATGTCTTTCCTGTGCCAAGGGCTCCAGAGGTGGACACAGCACTCCAGGAAAAACTGGGATACCAAACTTGTTCAAACTAGTCTTTTTTCTGCTGTCTGTACAAACACAACAGTTCCAAGTCATAGCCTGATGAAGTGACCATCGACTGCAGAACAGACCCCTCCAATTCTGCTCACATTGTACCTGCCACTTACAGGTGAAGGCAAAACCTCAGGGAGGGACTTCTCTAGCACAGCCTCTCTCACCTCCCATCCTCTCAGCAAAGATGGCCCATGGGAGGAAAACCAAGAGAGATGTTTTACCCCTGCTTCCTTGTGACTCCCCAGGCATGTGGGCACACGATCCCAAGCTGCATTTCAGAAGTGGTGGTAATGGCATAGAAGATCAGTTATGCAGCAAAGAAGAAATAAACAAAAACTTCTTCCATGCTGCAGTTTCAGGGCCCATTGCAAGTCATTTTGTGTATGATTCTATGATTCTACCTATAGAGCTCAGACAGGAGCATAACAGGACAAAATACATCCTGTTCCAATAACCATACAGATAAATCCAGATTTTATGGTATCAGCTCCTTCTGCACCAAATCCAATAGACTCATCCAGATTATTCATACACAGACATATGAACAAGCCTGAGGATAAACAACATTAAGACAAAGTAACCCAATACAAAGGTACTTTATGCAGCTTCTGAAGGGCTCTTGGGAAGGACTTTTATCAAACTCCAGCTGGGAAATGTGCTTTAATCAACACCTGCAGTCCCAGGTGAGGCTGCCTCCTAGAGACACCTTCTTCCCCAGACAATGTACCTAAAACCTGCCAGATGCTTTCCAGGCCACAGGGAAAGTAAGTTTGATTCAGGTTCAGGATTCACCTGACCTCTGTTTTTCACTTTTGTTGGGTTTTCTACCGGGTCTATTTTCAGTCCTGACAGGATGGCAGCAAGTTTGCTGTGTCTCTGCACCAGCTAGTAAGGATGATGGCTGAGTAAGCAAGACTCATTATCAAGTCTTAAGAAGGTGTGTAAGCTCAAAAGTATGCAGATTGAAAATTGCCCTATCAACCCTTCCCAGAGCTGAAGCCCTGCCTCATACTGCAGCCTTTAGGCAAATGTTTTACTTTCTTCTCAAGTTCCCAGTTCCCCAGAGGAAGAAATTACTGCTTGTTTCCTACCACAGTCAGGGGTAAGCAAAACAGGCTGCAGAAAAAGCCAAGGAAGAGCCTACAGCTAAGGGCTCTCAGCGGCAGCCCCAGATAGCAGATGTTGGTAGCTCTGGAGACTGGAAACCAAATCTCTTCCTCTGGGAATGAAAGTAAGAGCCTTTCCTCTGATCTGCACCAACTTAAAAAGGAAGAGGAGGCTGAGTGGAGACCTCACTGCCCTCTATCTGAAAGGAGGCTGTAGGGAGGTGGGTGTTGGGCTCTTCTCCCAGGTAAATAATGACAGGACCAGAGGACATGGTCCAAAGTTGCCTAGGGGAGGTTTAGACTGG